ATAGTTTTTTTTTTTCTATAATCATAACCTGCGTCACAACTTTTGATACAGAAGATGGTGGACTCCCAAATCTACCCCAGATTGAAAACCTGGGTCTGCTACATACCTCAAGAATATTTTGTTTTTTAACTTTACATATCGCACCACTTCTTCTTTTAGTGGTCTCTTCGCCCAAAAAATGGTTCGACACACTCGTTTTCTTTTGTACAGTCATCGTTGCACGTCGTTCTTCTTGATTTATAATATTTATTTGCTCTCAGATTTATAAACTCAGCACTTCGGCCATTACTTCTTTGCGGTCAAACTGACTCCACTTATATGGAATAAAAACTCTGACTTTTGAACACTAATTTATTTTTATTCGTAAGAAAATTTATTTTATACTCACTTCAAATTGTACATAAGAGTACCTACTCATGACGAGCAATTTTTATTCATACAGATTGGAGTATTTACTTTAGAATTATTAGCATGAAGTACATGCCATTGGCGATAACTTTCATTTTTGTTGGACCTTATTCTGAATAAGGTAGGAAATAAGGTTATCGTATTCGTAAAGTAACGAGTGGCGATAACTATTTACTCCAGAAGCTTGCTTACTTTTCACGGACGTCAGTCATTCGTTATAAATTGTAAGGTATAAATTGTAACTAGAATAGCTGGTTAATTTATCTACTTTGATATATGTGGTTGAGCTCAATTTATAGGGCGTGGGTTAGGTTTTTAAATAACTCTATTTGAAAAAGAAGTTGGACACCACTATATTTAAAGCTTATACACTTAACTCTACATTACTGATAAAAATATAGAAAATCACTAACCACTAACAAATTATATTTAAAAAATGCTTTAGATAAGGTATGTATCAAATTCTAATTCACATAAGTTTGCACATGATTCAAATTTAAAACAATTTATTGGTTAGATCAATTGCACTTATCTGTGTGGTAAGTGAGGTAATGTACGGTATTGGTAAGTTATCGGTAAAAATCAGGTATTTCTTCCTTCGCCCCAAACTGCAAAGGTACATCAATCCTTAAACATTATACCGGGTGTCCCAGATTTTTTTGCCCAGCGGATATCTCGGTTATTTAATGATATAAAATTGTAAAAAAAAATATGAATAATATTTGTCTAGTAGCCTTTTAAATTCCACTACATAAAGTTATATTCATCAATCCACCCCATAGGAACAACCCCTAACTTTTTTTTTTCAAATGTCACCCCTATATTTTTTTTCGCTGATATAAATACTCAATTTGTCCCGAATGCAACGATATGATATTTGATATACTTTACAGAGTCATAAAGCCGGTAAAGACTAAAAACCAATGTTGTGGTTAAAGTCATTAATTTTGTATCACCTGGTATTTTCTTTTTATTTTGATTAGAATTGCTTCGTTTTTGTTACCTATAACTAACTAACGATATGCTTAGACCATTTCTGAAATTGTTCGCTAGCTATAAACAACAGACAAAATGCCCTTTACATTCACTCCAAACGAATATGTTGATATGCTTTTAATTTTTGGTGAGTGCCAAAAAAATTCTCGTGCTGCTGTACACTTGTATCAACAGAGGTTTCCTGAGCGCCGACAACCATCACGTAAAACATATTCTTATGTTGAGACTAGGATGAGAGAAGGGTCATTTCCAGGAAAAGACAAACATCGTCAACATGCTGCTGCTGTAAGAACTGAAGAAATGTGCATTAATGTATTAGCTTATGTGCAAGTACATCCCCAGATATCGACGCGAAACCTAGCTAACGAGGTTCATATTAGTAAGTCGTCAGTACAAAGAATCCTAAAATCCTATAATTTTCATCCGTTTAAAATTCATTTGCATCAGGAACTTAGAGCTGGAGATTTCGAAAGAAGGATAACATTAATAGCACATTTTGAAGATTTAATGGAACGAAATCCCAACATTTTGAACCAGATATTGTGGAGTGACGAATCAAGGTTTCACAATAATGCTACTGTAAATCGTCACAATATGCATTATTGGTCTCCTGAAAACCCTCACTGGGTTAGGGAAACTAACTTTCAGACCATCTGGGGAGTAAATGTGTGGTGTGGATTATTTCAGGGACGACTGATAGGTCCCTATTTTTTCAAGGTACGTTAACTGGTGCTAGGTACTTACACTTTCTTGAAAATTACCTTCCAGAACTTCTTGAAGAAATTCCAATACAAGAAAGAGGTGCTATGTGGTGGCAACAAGATGGAGCTCCTCCACATAATAGTAATTTAGTTACCCAATTTTTAAACGAACGCTTTGAAAATCAGTGGATCGGAAACAGCGGCCCTTTGAGGTGGCCTGCGCGTTCACCAGATTTATCGCCTCTAGATTTTTTTTTATGGGGATATCTGAAGACCGTGGTATTTGAAACACAGCCATTGAATTTAGAAGATTTGCAAAATAAAATAGTACAAGCCTGCAATAACATTACACCAGAAATGATTACAGCGTCATGTACTCGTGAACTCATTCGACGTTTTGAAGCATGTTTGGCAAGTAATGGGGGCCATTTCGAACAATTTTTGTAAATATTCAATTATTTAAAAAACATATTAAGAGGTTTACCTATTCATTGGATTTGTTATTTTTTAATATAATAAAATGATAAAATGTAAACTAATTATTAATGACTTTAACCACAACATTGGTTTTTAGTCTTTACCGGCTTTATGACTGTAAAGTATATCAAAAATCATATCGTTGTATTCGGGACAAATTGAGTATTTATATCAGCGAAAAAAAATATAGGGGTGACATTTGAAAAAAAAAAGTTAGGGGTTGTTCCTATGGGGTGGATTGATGAATATAACTTTATGTAGTAGAATTTAAAAGGCTACTAGACAAATATTATTCATATTTTTTTTTACAATTTTATATCATTAAATAACCGAGATATCCGCTGGGCAAAAAAATCTGGGACACCCGGTATACCGGTCAGGCAACTTTAACCAAGTGATTCGAGATTTTTATTCATAACTCTCATTCATGACTCCTATTCGTGATTGAACCGTGAATGATCTTCAAGATAAATTATTCTTATTTGTATTCGAACCCGTACCGTCTAGAGATTGCCATAGACTAAAAAGGGGTTAAAACGTTATGATAGATGAAGGGAAATTTCAAAAGAGTATAGATAAAATGCTTTAACTATTAAATGATTAATTTCACAGAGACTAAAATTAATATGAAAAGGAAAAATCTTATTCAATATATTTAAATATAGTAAAGCATAATATCATATTCCAAAAAATAATATATAAATTAATATTTTGGATGACCGAAATAAAATTGAAATAGAAGTGACCTATTCGTCTCTCAGATGAAATAAAAATGTCACTTCCTCTGACACAAAGCATAGACGACAAAAGACATTTGAGTAAGAGGTTATTGTGTCCGAAATAACAAAATAAAGGTTCCAACCGTTACAAAATAACCCAAAACCACAATTTACTTTTTAAATTTATGTTAAACGACGTAATTTATAAATCCAATTATTTATAATTATCATATTACAGGTGAAAACTACTATGGACTCTTTCGAAGGTTGTTGTTGCTATGAGTGTTACTTCGGTACCTAGGCTTTTTTGCACAAGTCAGGTACCTGAAGTAGCGCGCGTAGCGACATCTGATGTCTACACAGCTTCCAGTCTACTTGAAGAAGATTGAGATTGGGATGTAACTACCGGAATAAAATGGATTCCGCTATGTGTCGTATTTTCTTCTGTCGTAGATCTAGATCAAACCATAGGTTTTATCTAGTACGTAATGAAATTACCATTTACAATATTTTTGAATAAAAAAATATGCAATGGCAATTTTTAAATAATACGATATTTACATTTCTCGCATTTTAAAAATTAATAAAGATTCGCTTATCTATATAGGGATATCAGCTCCTATTATACCTACAGGTTTAAAGGTTTAAGTGTTGATTAAATTACCAACGAATTTTTTGACTTGCTTTTCTCCAAAATTTCTGATTTATTTTCTGACGAATAAATCATGGCCTCCTTAGAAAAAAATGAGACCTAACTTTACGAAGTGTGATATTTCGATGATACTTTTTTCGGTCTTTCCAAAAATCAAAAAATCCAATATGGGGGCCATAAGAAAAATGAAAGTTGAGGCGGATTACGGGATAACAAAAGACGATTGAGACATGTCATACACGCTATCTTATTTGTCTTAAAAAGTGTCTGAATAATATCACATTTTGACAGCTGTCAAATTATTCGTTCCGAATTTACAGGCGAAAAACGAAATCCGCCATTTTCGGTTATCAAATGTACTAAGTTTTCTCTAAAACTTTTCCCATTTAATCTTTGCTGTAGGTATAATAGGAGCCGAGATCGCTGTATGGAGAAGCCAATTTGGGACACACTGTATACAGGGTGTTTCAATGAAAAGTATTCCATTTCCAGAGCTTATAACTTTTAAACAAATCGTAGGAACGTGCGGTTTTTGCTGATATGTGTTATTTTGCTATAAGTTTTGCTTCAGTAACACAGAAATTATGTATTACCTATACAGGTGTTTTTTAAAAATCTCTTATTTTAAATTCGCCGTAACCAAATTTTATCTCGCTCCAGGCTACTTTTCATTGGGATATTTCATACTACTCTTAATGTGTTTAAAAAATTGATAAATTAAATGAATAATTGTATCAAATAAAGTCAATAATTAAAAAAAATTTAAAACAGAAAAATTGAGCTAATTGTAATGGTTTTTGTGATATAAATATATTTGCGAGCCAATTCTGTTATTTCTGCTGTGTAAAAATGAAAGAAATGATTTACATTTAATTTTTAATTGTTGCAAAAACGTGTATATTTTGTAAAAAAGAGCAAGTGCTTTATATACCCGGATAGATCGGAAAGTTCTCTAGAACAAAACTGAAAAAACAATTATTGGGGAAATTTATATTTATTTTAAGGTTTCTGTACCCGAAGGGTAACCAACGAGACCATATTACTAACCTCCGGTGTCCGTCTGTCTGTCAGCGGGCTGTATCTCATGATCCGTATTAGGTATAGGTTGAAATTTTCACATAATGCCGCTATAACAAAAAATAAATTAAAAATACTACTTCTTTTACTTTTTTGCACCATCTAAATAAAATATTTAAAAAGTATCTATTATCTATTAAATCTTGTACAATGGTGCGGAACTTGGCCGGTTTTTTCTTTCTACATAGTCTCCTTTTAGCTTTCCACATTTTGTCCAAGGCCTTTAAAGACCTTTCAACCCTTCAAAATTACTGAAATCTTCGAAATATTCTTTTAGAGCTTCGATGAGAGTTTCTTTCTAGTCAGTCATTTCTTGAGATTTGAAACATGAAGAAATCTTAAGCCGAGTACAGACCAGATTCCAACGCTGAGCATCCCAACCCAAGCATCTTGCCCGTTGGGATTTGGCGTTGGAAGCGATTGGAATGCGCACGTCCACACCAAAAATTTGATTTGGGTTCGACAGCGTTTAAGAAGGTTCGGTCGCTTGATTAGTTTGTTGCAAAATGGCTTTAAACTCAAACCATTTTGAGTGATACACATCCTGGGTACCCATTCCGGAACGCACTGCCTCTTCACGTCGCATTTCCCGACGATACGATGTTAACAAGCTTTCTAGTTTCCTTTTAACTTCACCTTCTTCACATTTGAATTCTTGTGCGATATTTTTCCATAAATCTACTTTAAACTTTGAGAGTTTATAGCGTTTATCAGTTGGGTCCCATAATGTGGGATTTTGCCTATAGTATTCAATTAAATTTAAACATAAATCTTCAGTCAACATACATATTTTTTTATCAAAACAAATATGTGCTCACCAATACGCGGCTGGACTAAAAATGTCATCAAAATGCCAAAAGCAACTCGAGAAAAACAACCACATACTTTCATTACTATACGGGACAAGAGAGAGGTCCGACACGCCCAACATAGGGCGCGGCCATTTTGATTCCTATGCCACAGTTTATAGCTAAAGAATCATATTGCTCACTCTGCGTCGGCACTTTTGATCTCAATCTTCCAGTTTATACACTGCGCAACTCGGATAATACAATATATGACAACCGCCTATAATAAAACAGCAGTCTTCTGCGTATCCTGAATTTGTATCCCTGGAGTGGATGTTATTTTGGAACTTTCAACTGGTCCGACTGATTCTTTAGCAATAAACTGTGACTCCAAAAATAATATTCACTGACACTGACAGCAGCAAGCACACCTTAACTTTACACAGAAAGGAAAGTAAAAAATGGCCGTGACCGTATTTTCTTAGGCAACCCATTTGCGATATATTTAAAAACATATTTTCCTACGACCACTTAGGAAAGTGACACATCACACTATATATATGGAAAGTGCCCTATATCACAGTATGAATAAGAATTTACTTTCCACCCGAGTGAGAATATGTTACTTTCCGCAGTAGTTGTCACAAAATGTCAAACACCTTATTTCTATTTTGATCTATGTAATGTCCATATTAATACTAAAATCGATATGATTGTTAAATTATTGAAATCGTTGTAAATTAGATCCTAGATATTTATCTTTAACAATTATTATTAAAATAATTTTAAAATAATGTTTGCTCTTTATTCTGGTTAAATACATAACCGATTAGATCATTCAATTGACACAAGGGCTATTAGCTCAGGTGGTCAGGACGTCGAACTTATCAACTTTGCCATTTTTCGACCGCGTTCGAATCCTGGCGGGGCAGAATTTTTGTTTGTTTTTTTTTATTTTTTAGTTTTTTTTTGTTTAGAAAATATGAAAATTGAATAAATACGATTATTGTTGATTATTTTTTTAATATATTTTAATTATTATAGTAATAATAACCTTGGTTTTACATTTTTTTGATGACATTATTTTGTGGTCGTAGGAAAAATATTGTACATCACTTGTGTGAAAAGTGATTTTCCACACTCGTGTGATAGTCGCACTCGGCTTGCGCCTCGTGTGACAATATTTCCCACTCGTTTGAAAAATGTCACTTTCCACACTCGTAATGTAATATACTATTTAGTTTATAAAAAAAACTTTTATCCATTAAACAGTTGGGTGAAGGTCGACGTTATTTTCGGACCCCGAACTATAAGTTATTTTCTGAAGTGCCACCCTTCACATTGTTGTAGTTTTTATAAGCATTTTTTTTTGAGGCAACTGATTGATACATTATTTAAACTATTATTTTGCATTATGACGTGATTTTTTACAACCTAAAAGTGCAAATTTGTAGATGTAATGTTTACAAGGTAAAACAGTATAATTTCAAAAAATTCCGTTCAAGAACCTATTCCAGATAATAATGTTCACCAATATTTAAGATATTGTACTGATAAAAATTACAAAACAAGGAAGCGCTGCGTAAGAAGACTTTGATCAGTGTAAATGTTTTAACTTTGGACTTTAATATGCCCTCCAAATATGACTCATTGCAAATTATTAATATGAGAAAAGTAAGTATTATAGCGTTTAAACAATATTTTCCCTCTCTTCAAATTTTTCCATAGATTATAATTAGATAAAACACGTCAATAAAATATTTGTCTTTAGAAATGTTGACCTTTTTCAATCACACGTATTGTTCTTTTTTTTTTAATTGTATACAGGGTGATTTACCGAAAACGAAACATAGGTAGTGAATATCTTGAAGGGGAAATGTTAAAAAAAAATCCAAAAACTGGTCTATTTTTAGGACGGGGTCAAATTGGCTTGAGAATTATATCTGAACTGAAAAATATTTGAGTTTGCTCCCGCAAGCAATAAATACAGGGTGGGCCAACGAAGAACTTTTTATAAAGAATACATTTTTTTGATAAAACTTATAATAGGTTTCATATGTAGCAAACTTACGTAGACACACTGTACATAGAGGGAATGGCTCCAAAGTCGTACAGGTTAGGTAATTTGTTTTTATAACTTCTATAGTTCTGATACTAATTTTTTAATAATAGTTTTGTATACAGTGTGTCTACTTAAGTTGGAACCATATGGAAAACATTTTTATTATTGATTTTAGGAAAAAAAGTTATTCTTGATAAAAAGTCCTGCATGACCCAAAACTTAAAATACAGTCATCAGATATCAAATTTTTCAAGCCGTATACGAGGTTTGTCAAAAAATATGAATTTTGCTCAAGAGTAAAGTACGTTTATTTTTTTACAAAATCGAAAATTTTCATTAAGAAATTTGCTAAATTCTTCACAAACATCAACAAAAGGAAAGCGTATCATGTTTATAGTAGCTAACGTAATTTATAACGTTTTCAGATATTTACAATCAATGTGTAGAGTGTAGAGTTTATAAAAAATAAGAAAATCTGTTTTTTTCAGATAGATCGGTGTAATTGCATATTTGAATGTAATATTCAATTCTAATCTTATTTTTTATAAATATATATAAATTTATTTTTTATAAACTCTACACTCTACACATTGATTGTAAATATCTGAAAACGTTATAAATTACGTTAGCTACTATAAACATGATACGCTTTCCTTTTGTTGATGTTTGTGAAGAATTTAGCAAATTTCTTAATGAAAATTTTCGATTTTGTAAAAAAATAAACGTACTTTACTCTTGAGCAAAATTCATATTTTTTGACAAACCTCGTATACGGCTTGAAAAATTTGATATCTGATGACTGTATTTTAAGTTTTGGGTCATGCAGGACTTTTTATCAAGAATAACTTTTTTTCCTAAAATCAATAATAAAAATGTTTTCCATATGGTTCCAACTTAAGTAGACACACTGTATACAAAACTATTATTAAAAAATTAGTATCAGAACTATAGAAGTTATAAAAACAAATTACCTAACCTGTACGACTTGGAGCCATTCACTCTATGTACAGTGTGTCTACGTAAGTTGGCTACATATGCAACCTATTATAAGTTTTATCAAAAAAATGTATTCTTTATAAAAAGTTATGCATAGTCTAAAACCTAAAATTCAATCATCAGATATTAAATTTTTTGAGACGTATACGAGGTGCATTAAAAAATATATAATTTGCTAGAGTAAAGTACCTTTATTTTTATACAAGTGATAAAATTTTGTATCAGGTGATTGAATTTTGGGTTTTTAAGTCAAGAAAAACACTCATCCATGAAAAATAACTTTTTTATTATTAATTTTAGAAAAAGTTATTCTTCATAAAAAATTCTGCATGGTCTAGAACCTAAAATAAAACCAACAGATATAAAATTTTATTTACTCGACCAAAAATAATTTTTTTGACAAACCTCGTATACGACTCATAAAATTTGATATGTAATGATTGTATTTTAAGTTTTACACCATGCACAGTAAATAAACTCACAAAGGGAAAAACACTCACCTATGAATCATAGTCAAAATGTAGGATTTTTAAAAATCAAAAATTTTATTGTAAAATAATATTCTCCTCTGCTCCGTTACTTTAACCAAGACAATTTAATTAGGGAAAGTATGATAAGTCATTCAAATTTTATGGAGAATTCGGCAATACTTTTATAGCCTTCCAGTGGGAATCAAACTAAGTTCTTATTTATATTTATGAATGTTTGATCTCTGCAAGATTTTTCAATTATTTAATTTAATATTTCTTTGAATTGTGTTTTGTTATGTGCATCTGTTTCGTTTTTGGTGTCTCGCCCTGTATATGTTTTAAATATTCGTCCGTTATTTTATAAAATAATTAATGATTATAATAATTTACCGTTATATTAAATAAAAACTATTTTTTAATTACAGGTTTATTAGTTTTGCTCGAGTTAATTATAATTTACATCAAATATGTTTGTATCAAATTATTTTTGTAATCTCGTAATTTAATTTTAAATTCAAATGTCTTAGGCTTTGAATTAAAAATTAATTATTAAATATTACTGTCAAAATTAAGTTGTATTTATTTCCCTTAATTATAGCATGGTTTTAAATAAAAACGAACAAAATTGGAAAACTGGATGTATTAAGTTTTCAGGATACTTTAGATTCTACAAACATTTTTTTTGTGTTACACGTCTATTGTACTTCATCAGGTGCTCTGGTATTTTTGTCTCCCGACACCTGTTGGAGTGCACTATTTATGTGACGAAAATCAGCTAATAATGTTTGTTCGAGGCAATCTTGCTACCTACGAAATCGACTTATTTTTTATAAGATTCTAATTTGTAGATTTCGGAGCCCTGAATAAAATGAACGAAAATGCAAAACGATGATCGGTGCCGCAATAGTCGCCATATTGGTAAGTTTTTTGCAGTTTCTAGATTTAGGATAAAAAATGCATACATTTCGCAATCATTGCAACCATTGGAGACATTAAAAATGATAACAGCTTATTTGTAAAATTTGGTAACCCTCATTTTTACATATTTTTATATCATAATACATGTGCATAATACCAAAGAATACCTACCCAAGAAGCGAAACTAAATGGGCGATTCGTGGACAAAAAAACTGCCAAGTTTTAGAGGTGGTTTAACGTCAAATATAGCTGTCAATTTATGTTGAGCAACCAGAGCAACGTTTGGTATATTATTATTAGCGTTTTGTGAAAATTGCAGTATAGATAAGTAGTTGTATTTAACTAAGTAGTAATTAGAAATTAGATAGTTTTAAAATTTAAATTACAAAAAAAATACATTGCGTTATTCGTAAATTTTATTGAACGTTCTTGCATCTGGCTGTCAATGTTTTGTTTTAATTTCTAAATCAGTATTACCTCTAATGATAATTTACGCCTACGTATTATGCATCGTTTAATTTCTTACTCTTTTATTTAAATATGTTATTTTTATTGTTTTTCAAACCATTCAAATTAAAAAAGTAAATAAACAA